TAATATTTAATACATATATATTAGTATTTAATATATATATATATATATATATATATATATATAATAAATATATATATATATATACTAATGCAAATAATATACTAATATATTAAAATAAATATACTAATGCATTACATAAAAATTTACATATATAAATAAATAAATTTATAATTAAAATTTTTTAAATACGAGTCGCAAATTTTTTAATAATCATATACTAAAAATATGTATGATAAAACGCTTGAATGGCAAACGATCTTTATTTCTCAAAGGTTTATTTTATTTTATGTGTAGTTTGCAGAAAATTGTAAACCGTCAAGGTAAGCGGCAGAACAATTGGAATTGGTTACTTAAATCATTCATCATCGTCTCCGATTCGCGATCGACAGATTGTTCGAGACCTTATAACCATCGTTTGACCGCTTTGTCTCACGTCATTTACTCCTCGTGTGCTCGTGTACACGCGCACGGAAACGGTCCCGCGCATATTTTAACGCTCCTTGTTCCGTCCGCGAATAGCGTGCGACGTATTTTACACCAGCAGTAAATACAACCGCTAATCAGCGCTACGTGAAGATCGTGACTCAAGCGCGCGTCGTTACGTGAGTCGCGAGAGACCAGAATAGTGAATCGTAACGTAAGAGATCGCATTTTCTTCTAACATATGGGATTCGGCACGAAATATCGTATATCATCATGTACATGCTATCCTAATTACCGCCGCTATTCGTCCTGATCGTGAACGAGTTACATTATGAGTTTCTACGCGACGATCAATTTGACGACAAATTAACGATCTCACATCTTCAAGTATGCGTATATATGTGATGCATGAATACAAAGAGAGAGAGAGATAATAAAAGCGTTTGTTAATCCTTAGAATACAAAGCAGAGCAAAGCTGAACGCTCCGTATGATCAATGCTCAACTGATTCCTCTTATCTTATAAGTTCTCAGACCACAGTAACGGTTATTTCAGATCAAACATAGATGTTTACAATATACCAAGAAGATTACTCTTAGAAATATTTTAGGATTAACCTTCTAAGAACTTGAGTTACATATATTAGGTAATTAAGCTGAACAAGAATAATAAATGGAAAGGAAATATGAACATAAAGAGAAAGTAACTGAATGAGCAATTATTATTGTCCTAGGATATCTCTCAGAATATACAAAACTTAAAAAATTCACAGTTATATAGTTAAATTCAATTGCGGATAGAATTTTATAACAAAAAATAGTTCGTAATTGACTATGTCTTTTTATACGTGCTACTTATATTTTAAGAACTGAAATGTGTACTATTAAAAAACTCGTTTAGTTTTAGTTACGAAAGCTACAAAATAATTTCTTGAACTATATACGTTAATTCTACATACAAAAGTTGTCATCTATACACTGAGAGAAAAATTATATTAAAATTAACAAATATTTCTTTGATGGGTGTCACTAACATATTTACTTAAATCTACATTCTGTTTATTTGAAATATCGTTTACCTGATTTAAATAAACATAAACCAAATTTAAACATTTGGTTTAAATAAAGAGAATGTAGATTTAAGTAAATATGTTAATGGCACCCATCAAGAAAATATTTGTTGATTTTAATATAATTTTTCTCTCAGTGTACAGTTGCCATCACCATGTTTTTCTTTGAATATAGTGCAATGCACTTTTTTTCGGAAAATCATTTTATTAAGAGAAAGAGACCTGATGAGAGTAATAACAGCCTGTGACTCTTCGTCTTCTATTACACTGTCAACTTCGATTCTATCACACTGTCACATTCGGCGTGTCACTCGCTCCTTACGTGACAACGCGAATCGCCGGCCGCGAATCTCGAGCTCTATTACAAACTGGCGATAGGCAAAAACTAAAGTAAAATTAGACACGCACACGACAAGACAGTCGGCGCTTGTTTCAGTCGATCGACCGAGTAATACCCGCGGTGAGCCGGCGTTAGCCCCGCGGCTACTTCGTTACGTCTCAATTAGCCGGCAAATTGTAAGCGCCGCTATAAGATAATCACTGCGTTTCCGAGATGACGTGAACGAATTCGCCAGGTAATTAAAGACCATGATTATTGGTCGGCCTCTCTCTCTCTCTCTCTCTCTCTCTCTCTCTCTCTCTCTCTCTCTCACACACACACACACACACAC